CTTAATTTTGCTGTACCACCATGTTAGTAACAATAAGAGTTTTTTCACAGATGGGTCAACTATAAACGCTTCCACTGGATTTGGAGTATTCAACGAATTTCATAGCGCCTCATATCAACTGCAAAAACCCTGTTCCGTATACGTTGCGGAACTAGCAGCCATATTTTACGCAGTAGAGCAAATTGCCTCACTACCATCTGATCACTATTTTATTTTTACTGATAGCCTTAGCTCGTTGGAGGCTATTCGATCAATGAGGCCGATGAAGCACTCCTCGTATTTCCTGACCGAAATCCGAGCTAAATTGAGTACTTTATCTAACTGCTCCTATACTATCACCTTAGTTTGGGTCCCATCTCATTGCTCAATTCCGGGCAATGAGAAAGCGGACTCGCTAGCTAAGGTGGGCGCTATGGAAGGCGATATTTTTGACCGACAAATCGCCTTTGCGGAATTTTTCTCAATTACCCGTCAGCACGTCCTCACCAACTGGCAACAAAAATGGAATGAGAGTGATCTGGGAAGATGGTTACATTCTATTCTTCCACAGGTGTCGAACAACCCATGGTTCAAAGGATTGGACATGAGCCGTGACTTTCAAAACGTGTCATGTCAAGGCTCATGTCCAATCACTACTCGTTAGACTCGCATTTCTTCCGAATCGGGCTCGCAGGCAGCAATTTGTGCGCTTGTGGTAGTGGCTATCACGATATCGACCACGTGCTTTGGTCATGCACCTTACATTGTGTTGCTAGATCCGAGTTATCCGCATCCCTCAGGGCCCGAGGAAAACAACCTATGCGGCCCGTTAGAGACATCTTGGCGAGCCGAGATCTCGAATATTTTAATTTAATTTATGTGTTTTTAAAACGGATCGATCTGAGGATTTAGTAGTTAGTGTCATCTTGTGTTCTCTCAAGTTGTTAGCTGCCCATCGGTGTACCCCCATGTTTGTCTTTTTCATCAGTATGTCGCTTAGTTCTAGATCAAGAGCACATTGCTCTAAAAAACCTTGTGTTCTCAATCCCTACCCTGCCACCCGTTTGTTACAATTTGTTACCCCTAACCTCGAGAAAGCCGCGAGTAATCGGCCCCCGCTTTACTAACGTTAGTTTTAAGTAATTTTGTACCCAAACGATGAATATCGGCTCCGCAAAGCTACGGCAAATGAGCCTGGAAAAATAAACGCATTTAAAAAAAAAAATCATTGAATTTAAAGTTTCAGAGGTAGATTTGGTAAAACCTCCATCATGACATTTAAGATTACCAAGTTCAATCGTATGGTCTTTCGCAAGAGTTTTCTGTAATCTCGCGACTATAGGAGTACTGTTTATATTTTCACACATTTGAATCCAAGACCGCCTCTTAGATTTTCGTATATTCAGATAGGGTTTTCTTATATTGAGCCCAATCAGAAGTGACCAACGATTAATTTCTTGAAACATATTATTGAGAAGATATGATCGAGGGCCCTGGTTTCAGCCCACCATTAATACGGCACTCTCTTGCACCTTGAAAGCAGCGATGATGACTGAAGTCGGAATTGTAATCGAATTAATAATTACAGAGTATTTAATCTAATCTATACACACTAGTTAACTGTTTTATGTTATAGGACATACGTTAAGCTCTGGGCGTAGTCTGTGTTCCACTTCGAAATTACTTAGCTCAGTACTTCAAGAAGGGGTTCGACATAATTACCTCGAGACTACTAATTATTCGCCTTACAAGAGAGTGATTTAAAGACTGACTGTCATTTTGCTACTTTGAACGGGTGAAGACGATCACGGCAAAATTAATACAGTAATAGCTCTATATAATGTAGCTTTATTTTTCATTTGGCTACGTTACATCGAAACAATATGAAAATATAACATTATAGTAAGACAAAAAATTAAAAACAATCTTATAACATTTGAAAGAAGCGGCGCCGGTGGTGTAATGGTAAGCGTGATTACCTCTCACCCCAACAGATCTGGGTTCTATCCCAGTCGGCACCGCCGGGATGTTCCCCGCCATTACCCAACGGCATCCGATTCCGGTTCTTCCTCCGCTTCCACTCAACAACCGTTTGGCTACCGCTGCTGCATTGGTTCCGCCACGTACTGAGATGCCAACCCCTTCGGCTAATCCGCATCGACAATCATATGCGGCAACGTCTGCTTACCCTTCCCTGGAGATGCCCAACCATCAATTGAAAACGAAGATTTGCTCACAACAGAGGAACTCACTACCATCATGGCAGAAGCAATCATCATAAAGCGCTCCTAGAACCGAACAGATTCTTGCTGCATCACGTTTCATCGACAATCATGAACCGTGAAGCCATCAAGATCGCCATCAAGATCATCGAGTTCGTTAATTTCCTCAACGAGCGTAGTATAGACATCGCTATCATCATCGAGACCCATTTGAAGGCCGAGCTGAACGTCTTCCTTCCCGACTTTCAGTTCGTGAGACTTGACCGCAGTGGGGAGTGGCCATCGCTGCCAGACGGAACATCAGTTGCCGGCTGCTACCAAGCTTCCTACTGAATACAATCGAAGCCATCGGGGTTGAGGTGAGCACATCACTTGGCCCAATCACCATCATCGCGACTTACTGCCCAAAGCAAACCACCAACAGAGACGGGTCGTCAGTGGCCCTCCGGCAAGACATCATCATCACTAGCGACCTAAATGTCAGACACCAAGCTTGGGGCAATGGTCGGCGCAATCCTGAACGAGGACCTTCAAGAGGGACATTACACCATCTTGGCCTCGGACACTTCTACCCGGCTGAGTCGGTCCGGAGTTCATGCAACCATCGACATCTTCATCAGCAACATGGGCCACAACATCTCACAACCTGTGGTCTACCAGGAGCTGAGTTCGGACCACTATCCGGTGGTGGCCGAAGTAGGTTTCTCTGCTTACAGGTTACAAGCATCCTGGCGCAACAACCATTGCGTTAGCTGGGACCAGTTCCAACGCTGCGTTGACACTGCTGTTGACTACGAGAAACATCCGGACACCCCCGAAGACGTTGACCGGCGCCTGAGTTCCATAAAGGAGGCGATATCTCGAGCCAGAGAACAACAGATAGACCCACTAAAGACATTATAAGACTCCGTAGCGCAATGCATAGGCAGTACCAACGCACTGGACTGACCACCTTGAAGACCCATTGCAATCCCCTAACAAAAAATATTCAAGCCAGGACGGCGGCCCTTAGAAATGAGGACTTTAGTGGCAGGTTGCGTTCACTACCAGATTGTGCCAAGCACTTCTGGAAACTAACAAAAATCCTTAAAAATAAGCCAAGGCCCATTCCACCACTTGTACCGTTGGATCAAGCCAATGATTCAGTCGTCCATCTGATAACCCCTGAATAGAAGGCTGATGCTATAGGTCAACACTTCGTCAGCTCCCATAATTTCGGACGGAACATGACTAGTCCATTCGACATTGTGGTTGCCGAAAATACAGCCAACCTCCATCAAATTCCCAAACAAGTTTTCTGTGGAATCCGAGATTACGGCTGATGAACTGTTGGCCTATATCAAATCATCTAAAAACATGAAGGCCCCAGGTTTCGACCAAATTCTGAATCTGGAACTGGATTTTCAATCACTTGGGTACTTCCCTCATGCTGCTGGAAGTCAGTTAAAGTCCCCATCCGGAGGAAAGATCCATCCTCTCATTCAAGCTACCAACCCATCAGCCTTCTCTCGGGGTTGTCCAAGCTGTTCAAAAGGGCAGTATACCAGCGACCCCTGGCATCTGCCGATGAAAACAACTTGTTGCTCGAGGAGCAGTTTGGCTTCCCTAAAGGTTGCTCGTGTGATAAACATTCTCAGACAGAACAAATATGTATCTAAAATATCTGCCATGGCATTGTTGGACTATGAAAAAGCGTTCGATAATGTCTGACACGATGGCCTGGTCTACAAATTGCAGCGATGTGGTCTTCCACAAGGTGTTTCACAAGGAAGTATCCTTGGACCCATCTTGTTCAATCAGTTCACCTCCGATAGGCTGGCTCTCCCTGATGGTGGATCGTTGTCCCTGATCGCAGATGACACATCCATCTGAGCTCTGATCCCAAACTTCAGAGAGGACTAGATGCATCAGGACATCCTGTCTGATTATTTAAACAGCTGGAAGATCCGTACAAACGTGGCAAAGATCCATGTTATCATCTTTCCTCATTCCAAATCTCCCAGACTTGTTCCGTCTGAGAATAATAAGATCAACTTGAACGGCACAGTGGTGGCATGGTCCAAAGAAGTAGTCTACCTCGGTCTTGCACTCGACAGAGAGACCGCAAATTGCCATCACCTAAAACTACAAAGGGTCCAATACAAGATCCTGAGGGTGATGCTCAACTGTCCTTCACGCTCTCGAAACGCTGGTCTTCAGACACTGGAGTTACGGAGAACTGCTACCATCGAAAGGTTCAGGATTGCTGTAGGCGATCCAGACCATCAGGAATCTGGCACATTACGTTAAGCTTTAGGTTAAGTAGGGGAAATGGACGTAATGTCGGCCTAAATGCCCCTAATTTGGGCCCATACATAAATTCAGCAATCGACTAAATTTTCAATAGCGACCAAAAATATCCATCAGTACCGTCCCAATGACGCGTTCATCTAGATAAAATTGATAAATAGCAGATTTTTAGCCCAATCTTAGATCCATAGGCCAACATTAGAGCCATTTCCCCTAGGTAGGTTATCAAATTTTTAAAACTCAAACTTAACAAACCCAAAGGGTTTTCTGTTAACTAGCGCTAAACGCAATCGTCATACTTGTTAATTGCTAGCCAGATGGGCTAGTTTAAAGGGATTCCCCTAACCTCTGGTCTAGCCACGGAGATCGTCTGGGGTGGGCTACACTCGCCTCTTTTGTTGGCTAGCTCGAGCTTGACACCCTACAGCTTCAAGGTCGGCTCCTGGCTTGTCGATAATAATCAGAAGTACAAATCACCTTATCGTTATTTTCAACTCTTTTATTACTTACGGTTTTGGTGCCTGTAGTGTGTGTGTGTGTGTGTGTGTGTGCCCGTAATTAATGGGTCCTGACTCCGTATTCGGTGGTATTAGCCGGTATTTGTTGGCGACTCTGTATATAACATAATAGAAATAATGCATAGTATGTAAGTAAAACATTGTAACCATTGTATTTAGTCTACTTTGCTTGACGAAATAAATTTCACTTCTTTTCAAAACTTATAACAAACTTGGCAGATCGATCTATCTCGCGCAATGGCTGAAGTAGAAGAGAACCTTCTCTTCAGTTTGATCTAGTAGCTTCCCCCTTGACCTAAGCCCATTTCCACCTCCCTCCCACTTTTCCACCACCCCTTGTCCATATCCTTCTACTGTTTCCAACGCCCACCTTCATCCTTACTCCTTCCCGTTATGTGTACTGTGTTATGTGTTGTTGGTGTGACTCCGTTACAATATTTAATTGGACCGTTGGTTTGGGAGTGGTCTTTCATTTGACTTACATATTTAATTATATTTACATTCAAAACAAGACAATATTGCATACAAGAAACTGACATACTGATTTAATTCACAATGAATACACATATACTCTATTCCTTGCTCTCGCTATCTCCTGATTTTTCTCGCTCGAAGTGAATCAATAGGGTACAGGAACCAAAATGGGAACATACTAGAATAATCAATTTATCAGAACAAAGATGAAGAGCCAAAGGCTAATGAATTGATCTGAAAAACCAATGTTAAAACATAATGAATCAATAAATAAATGAAAATTTTACTACTACCGATGAGACAACGAAACCCAACCCCCTAACTCCTTCCATTATCCTATCCTTCGAAAATGTACCCCTCTAACCTCGGGTAAGCCGGGAGTATTTGGCCCAACTCCTACTTGACATAGAATTAAGTGAATTTAATCACAAAAAAAAGAACAATTAACTATCGGCTGCGTAAAGCTAACGCGATTGAGCCTTCCAAATAAACGTTGTAGCTAAAAAAAGCTTCTAATGATTTTTAAAGAAGCATCAAAAGCAAGCTTCTTAACAAGATTTTTATAGAAGTTTCAAAATACAATATTGCCGGCGTCCTACTTAAAATTCCTTTTCACCCTTTTGACAATTAGATTCCTTTGAAATCATGTTCAAATTTTTTTTTTGAACTCAACACTCTCCTTAATAGCGGTTCCAGTTGTGTAGGGATAATCGTTATTGCGTCTCACCCTAAAGGGCCTGGTCCCAGTCGGTGCCACCGAAATTATCTAAGGCATAAAATCTATGATCACACTTTCCTTCGGAAGAGAAGTAAAGCCGTTGGTCCCCGGTCCATGAGTTGATGGGTCGACAGGTAGGGTCCAAGTGTGAGAGCTGACTTCCTGGCGTCGGTAGCATTGGTATAAGGTAGATGAGGAGATGAAAGTTCCGCTATAGTACGACAGTGTGAAAGTTGATTTTTTTTTTTTTAATTCTTTATTTTAGAGATTTTCAGATGTGAAAATTGTACAACAAAAGTAGAAAGTGAGCAAAGGATAGGAGAGATATGAGAAAGGTTCATCTCATCTCATCTATAGTATAAAATGTTCACTTTAAGTCTGATATTGACGTTAAGCATCTCCGACTATGTAAATCGTTAACTTCACGCATGAAGTAATAAAAAACATGATTAGTTTAAGAGAATTCCAAATTTCACCGGTTTTCAGCTAGTAGCCCAAGTAAAATTTGAAGTTTTATGAAGTAATACAAAGCTACTATAAAACAACATTCATAAACCCTGGGTAAGGCTGTTTTCTATTGATGCATCCACCAAAAACTCATTAAGACTAGAATCTGTCGAGTTGGTCCATCCTAGAGAAGGTTCTGAAAAGGTGTATTCTCGACGCTCTTCACAATTAATTTACCGCAAAAAAGGTTGGATGAGGAACGCATTGAGAACCATTAGAAACCAGTATTAAATCTACAATAAAAGCTAGTTGGAAGCTCAGCCGAGATATTTTTTGACGTAGGACTACGTCTGTGATTTGTATCTGGGGGTACACTTTGTGAAAACCGAAAATGGAACATGTAACGAAACTATGAAAGAATTTGAACGTTAATAGCTCAGCTGCCCCTGGACCAATTTCAATAATTTTTATCACCAATCGATCAGAAATATGTTTACGCATCAATAACAATGCTTCCGACTGTAGAATAAACCTATTAAAGAGGTGGTAAATGTCAAGCATTGTCCTAAAGTGTTGAAATAACCAACAAATCCACCAATTACATACATGCATATGCTGTTTTCCCAGCACAGTGTCATCGGAGAATCGTTTCTAGACGAAACATGTCGTTAGTGAACGAAACAAATCGAAGTGGCATTCGCCTCCGATCTTCGGCCGTGTGCGAATAGTGTAGCATATCAGATATTCAACATTATATGAAACATACCAGATAAACGCAATAGTCAAAATCATCTCTCATTAATATCAATACATGAAAAATATTAAATAAGAATCTCAAGCTCAGTCATTAAAGTTTATAGCGTTAGGAACAGAAAATATTGAACATTTTCCCACATTCAAACCTGGTAACTTTCCAACAGTCAAAAAACCTTGCGTCACATAAATTGGATTATTACCATAGCAACAAATATGAACATGTAAACCACTTCAAATAATTTTATGTCCAAGCTCCTCCCAAAAAGTTATATTTGTAACCGAAACTTTTCATAACCAAAAAGCTGAATTGAATAAACATTCTCAATTTAACCATCATGGAACGCGTATCATTATAATAGGGAGCATGCAATTGCGTAACATTTTGCACACTCATTGCCATATTCAGAACCAAACACCTCCAAATAGTGCGAAATAGGTTAGACAGGGAGAATTGACTTTTATCCCTGTAGCTGTCGCTTGTAGTTTTTTGTTATATTTGTTTCTGTAATAATTGTATAGTACACGTTGATAGGATTGAGTGTATGTTTTAGAAAAAGTGAAATTTCTGAATCATAAATGATATTCCAAATCTCCTTTTCCCTCTCCCCATCCATTCAATTGTCATTCACTAACCTCGGGAAGACCGCGAGTAATCGGTTGAAATCCTTTAATTTTTGATTTAAGACACAAATAATGTATAACGCAAATGATAACATGGCTCTGTAAAGTTTATTAGATTGAGCCTGTACAAATAAATTAATCAACAAAAAACCAAATGATTTCCAGAACACACAATTATCACTTACGCAAATCGGAGAAGGTCAAGTATTTCCGATTCGTCATTTATCGTGGAACTGCTCTACTTCCAAACACAAAGGTCTGCACCAAGATACAAGCTACTTCGAGTTCGAAACATCACAATTACAGTGGTTCGATTCTTGTTATGTCTCGTATGCGAAGTGATATGCATTTACTGACAGAATATGAGAATGACAGGATAAATTTTCTTCGTCATTAATCATGCAAACAGTTTTCTTCAATCTTGTCGCCTAACAACTACCGTTCTGATTCATATTTTGAACAGAAAACGGGCATTTAGTTCATGGTAACACATTATTTAGTTTCGTTTCTTCGATACACTGCTGAAGTACCGTTAATCTTTCTGAGATGATATTTTAAAGTAAATATCAAAACTTTTCCAAAAAAATGTGTTATTTATATAGGTGCTACAAAGATTCAAACTTCGGACACTTATCTTTGAGGAGCTTCAAATTTCGGACACCCGATTTTGTATATGTTTTTGGTTTAAGCTACGTACGATAACATTCACTGTATAATTTCATTTCATTCGATTTCATACCTACGTTATATTTCGTTTAATCTTATCAATAAAATAAATGCATAAAACTGTCTTGTCCGAAATATGAATCACAGTTTTTCACAGTGAAAAAAATGTGATTCATATGTCGTACACTTTATTTTTTAGGAATATTATGGAAGAACGCAGGCTGATTAAAGGAACAAGGTTGAAAGGTTTTTAATGTTTATATTACATAGCTGTATAGGTATTTCAAGATATCACTATTGCACTTTTTGTTTAAGGTAATACATCTTCAATATTTTATCTCGCCGTTACAATGCATTAGCAAATCGAATTAAAATCTTTTTCATCTCGATAATTTGATCATCAAGTTATATGGCAGTCAGTCAGCTTTAAACGACTACTCACACTCACACTTAGTTGCGGCCCAATTTACACTTCGTTAGTTTCACTAATTTGAATTCTTCTGAGTGCAATTTTGTACACCGAATTAAGCACACTGTGTACTTCACCTTACATCTGAGCACTCTTGAAAAGGACTAACTTGACTCTACCGTCACATCACTCTTATAAATGGATTGTGATGAACAAATCTGCTCCGTAGCGTTGAATTCCGATAACGATAATAATACATAGCAAATCCACAATCTCGTACTGGCGAGCAGTGCTGAGCTTTGTTATTGTCATTGACAGACTTTTGCATAATATTGAAAAAAATGTTTTCACATCTATCTCTTTGCTAGGCTTGAGAGAAATTTGTGGCATCGCGGTTGATAATTTTAATTTATTTAAGCGGTGATGATGTTGGTTCACTCGCAACTATTTTTGATTTAAAATTAAGTGTTTTCGAACGAAAGTGTACCAAAAGTGCTTCTTTTTTGCCGTTCAACGACGACGGGTGTGCTTTCGCGAGTGTGACGTTTATTGGATACGTTTCTTAGCACAGGTGTGTTTTTTTTTTGTAACTAGCGTAAGTGTGCCTGCGATTTGCATTGAGTGTCGGAGATTGTGAGTAAGCTGAAGGATGTCTCGCTGGATACACCCAAGACTGGACAGGCGGTAGCTGGTGGCCGTGAACGGGTCCTGGGGAAAGCACTAGATGCGACCCCCCTCCCAGATAACCATGGCAATACAAGAAGTATTACAACAAAGGTAATTGCTATTAGATATTTTGCAAACAGTGACAGATAGCGGACATGAAGAACCAGTGGAGGTGCCGTGCAAAGGTGTTTATCCTAGACAAATGGTAAGTTACACATTCGCTGCTGTCGTTGTCGTAATCGCCGTCGTAGTCGTAGCACAGACAAACAGACGTAACTTTTTGAAAAAGTTATCCTTGAAAACATAGTATCTCAAAACATAGAACCTCAGTAACGAC